CTTTTTAGTATGCTGTCTAGATTTGCCATAGCTTTCCTCCCCAGGAGCAAGTGTCTTTTAATTTCTTGGCTGCAGTCCCCATCTGCGGTGATCTTCGAGTCCAGGAAAATAAAATCTGTCACTACCTCCATTTCTTCCCCATCTATTTGCTTGAGAAAAATTGAGAAAAAGTGATCCAATGGAGAAGAAAATAGCAACCCACTCCAGTATCTTTGCCATGAAAACCCCATGGACAGTATAGTTGAAACAGTACCTCACTTAAAATTAGATGCTCCACCAGAATATGGCAAAAAAAATTCAGTTTTCTCACCTGGAATCTGTTGAGCAGCTGGTGAATTAATTGGCACACTTTATTGACAAGATGTTCTTGATTAAGCTGGACTAGTTTACAAGCTTGGACAATTAGTTCACAAATGTCCTGTCATATAAAAGAAGACAAAAAAGTGTTGCATTAGTTACTCTTAATACCCTGAAAGACACAGAGATGAAATTGAATTGACAATACAGGTAATCCTCAACTTGTAACAGTTCATTTAGTTACTGTTCAAAATTATAACTGCACTGAAAAAAGTGACTCATGACCATTTTTCACTATTATTACCATTTCAGCATCTCCCATGGTCACATGATCAAAATTAAGATGCTTGGCAGCTGGCTTATATTTATGACGGTTGCATTGTCCCGGGGTGATATGATCCTTTTTTGCGACATTCTGGCAAGCAAAGTCAATGGGGAAGCCAGATTCATTTAACAACCGTGTTACTAACTTAACAAGTGCAGTGATTCATTTGACAACTGTGCCAAGAAAGGTCATAAAATGGAGCAAAACCAACAATTGTCTTGCATAACATAGAAATTTTGGCTCAATTATGGTAATAAGTCGAGGACTGCCTGTGTCTTTCAATCCAACCTATCTTATAGCTTTGTTGTTGCGAGGTTGAAATTGGTAAAAAATAATAATACTGTAGGTAGTTGTCGACTTACAAGTTCATTTAGTGACCGTTCAAAGTTACAGCAGCACTGAAAAAAGAGACTTATGACTGTTTTTCAGTTATGACATTTGCAGCATCCCTGTAGTCACATGATCAAAATTAAGATGCTTGGCAATTGACTCATATTTATGATGGTTGTAGTGTCCCGGGGGGTCATGTGATTCCTTTTTGCGACCTTCTAACAAGCAAAGTCAATGGGGAAGCCAGATTCACTTAACAACCATGTTACTCACTGAACTGCAGTGACTCAATTAACTGTCTGGCCTAGCAACAGAAATTTTGGGCTCCGTTATGGTCATAAGTCTCTCAAACTAACTTATCTTATAGATTTGTTGCTGTGAGGTTAAAAATGGGGGGAAATAGAACTAAAAAAGAATATTACATAATGGAAAAAAGTGAGTCAATCTGGCCCTGCCTGTGGATGATCCTGGGCAGGGTTCTCCAACCATGGCCCCTTTAAGACTTGTGGACTTCAACTCCCAGAATTCCTCAGTCAGTTTTGCTAGCTGAGGAATTCTGGGAGTTGAAGTCCACAAGTCTTAAAGGGGCCACGGTTGAAGACCCCTGATCCTGGGGACCCACCCTTGCTTGGAGTCTATTTCCTCCACCCCATCAAGCTCCCCCGCCACTCCTCGGCCTTCTCCGGCTACTCACCTCCGGCTTCGGTCCCCACGGCGCCGCTCCTCCCGGGACGCATGTCTCGGACATGAGCTCGTCGAAGAGCAGGTGGAGCTCGGGGCGGCGGCGGCTGGCGTTCTCCCCTCCCGGGGCCTGGCTGGGATCGGGGGCGAGCCTCAGAGCCTTCAGCCGCGCCAGGTAGCGTTGCAAGCAGAGCCCGGATTCGATCCAGGCCGGGTTCGGTTCTGCTGCAGCTGAGTCTCCTCCAGCCATGCAGGCCTCAGCCGCCATTTTTTCCAGTTCGTCTGCCAGTTGCTAGGGCAACTAGGCCGAGAAGGGACGCCTAGGCCTAGCTTCCGGATAAAAGCCAGGATGGAGTGTATTGGAGGCCGCCGCAGACGGAACTCTATGGTTGAAGCCACTTCCGGGTCCCTCTGTGGCGCGCCCCCTATAGGTAGTGATCTGCTGGTACAGGATCTCCTACTTGGGGTTGGACTAGAAGACCTCCAAGTTCCCTTCCTGCTCTATTCTGACAATACATATTTTGATAGCAGTCTAGCATTCCATAAGGATGCCATATGAGATGTGACTTGAACTTTAGAAAATGCCAAAGTTACATCTAGCAGCACATACCAAGATGGCTGTAGAGGCCAGTGGCTGATAATTAATAGAGTAGGTTATACCTATTCTATTTCACTTCTATTCCACTTCACTCTACCCCTGCTACAGTAGATGAAAGAGACAGGAGCTGTGCCACTCCTGACCATCCCACAGTTGCCATTGACGTGCCACATATCACACAGAGTCTGGGTCTGAAGAAGATGGAAGGTCCATAAATGTCAGATCAGCACATTTTGGCAAATTCTGCTGCTGGTTAGGGTTGAGATGAAGGGATGTCATGAAAGACAAGTCAATCAATCAATCAATCAGAATTGAGCTGGAAGGTACCTTGGAGATCTTCTAGTCCAGCCCCCTGCTCAAGCAGGAGACCGTATAGCAGTGGTGGGTTTCAAAAATTGTTCGAACCTACTCTGTGGGTGTGGCCTCCTTTGTGGGATGTGGCTTGCCACCCATGTGACCGGATGG